GTTTTTATCAGCTGTTCTTACAGTTTTTCTCAGCTTTTCTCAGCTGTGCTTACAGTATTTATGAGCTGTTCTTACAGTTTTATCAGCTGTTCTTACAATATTTATCAGCTGTTCTTACATTTTTTATCAGCTGTTCCTAGAGTTTTTATTAGCTGTTCTTACAGTACTTATCAGCTGTTCTTACAGTTTTTATCAGCTGTTCCTACAGTTTTTATCAGCTGTTCTTACAATATTCATGAGCTGTTCTTACAGTATTTATGAGCTGTTCTTGCAGTTTTTAATAATATGTTCTTACTGTTTTTATCAGCTGTTCTTACTGTTTTTATCAGCTGTTCTAACTGTTTTTATTTAATTTTAAGCCTGTATTCTGTATTTACGTGAAGCACTTTGCATGAAAGGTGCTAAACAAATAAACTTTACATACTTACTTACTTACTAAAATAGATTTCAAAGAGAACAATGTTTTTGATAGGCTTGAAGAGATTGCCATTTATTTATATGGAGAAACATTTATAAATAATTCTGAAAAGTATGAAAGTAAAAATTTTCATCTCTTAAATGATCTGAACGAGCTAAAATAGCACAACATGTGCAGAAGAAAATTAGATAAATAAACCAGGAAAACAATTGTGCACTCGCACAATAACCCCCTCTTTTTCTTAACCATAAAGAAAAGCCATAAAGTTCTAAAATAAATTTGTATAAACTTATTAACTGTGCTGCAGACACACTCGGACTGCACCGACACTCAGCTGGGATGTCAGTTTACAGATCTTTGGATTTGTAGTGGAGCCCAAATGGACTTGAAGGATCCTCGTGGACCAGTACAGACAACATTTGTTCTTTTTCTCCTTCCAGCCGTTCACACCCCCCTCTGTACGTCCTGCATCTCCTGCCCTCAGCTGTGACCCTGACAGAGACGTGGACACGCTGTCCTCCGTCTCTGCTGGCTCCATGAACTTACGCTCGGCCTCTCAATGCTGCGACCCCGAAGGACCTCTGTCCATGCAGCTGCGCGGCGACTCGATCGAAGACGAGGACGTCAGTGAGGATGAGAGGGATGAGGGAGGGAAGAGCAAAGAGAAGGTGTGATGACGAGGTCAACGATTATTGAGGACTTTTATTCCATAAAATAAGCAGAGATTAAGAAAGTGTTTGTACTTTAGGACAACTGTCGTAAAAAGGTGAGGAAGCTATTAGCATAGTTGACTCAAATCAGCCCGTCTTTACAGAAATAAATTTCTACCTGCATCATCCAGTTTAAGCAGATGTTTTTGTTGTTGTTGTTTCTAAATGTTTACAGATTATTTTGTAATCTTGAGTGACCACTTTGCCTTATTACTGTGTTGTGTTGGTTAGTAAGGCTTTTACCAACCTGAAAAATGGCAGTAAAATTGTAAACACATTTGTTGTTCTCTAGATATATTGTGTTTTAGTTAACTTTTAATATGAAGTTCAGTCTTTTTATGAACATTGCATTTGTATAAATATTACACAGGGTTTTAATCACTGAAACACTAAAACACTGTAAATGTAAAACAGTGAGCTGTTCGTAGTTGATGAATTTATTTAATGACATTTCTTCACATTTTAAAATATGTTAATATTTTTACATTCATGTTTTCTTTTATGTGTGTTTTGTACAAAGATGTAAATGTTTTACTCAGATAAATGATAGATCAACCATATTTTTCCCATTATTGTTAAATTATTATTGTAAAATTGTAAGAGGTAAAAGTATGCTAGTAATGCTTTCTGTTAAAGTTTCTGTGTTTACATTCACTAACAATGGAGATTTGTTAATTTTGTACAAACTGTATAAAAACATTGCGTTGCACAAACCAGCGAAACATCCTGCCAGCAGTCTGAAGCAGGAAGTAGACTGCCCTTATGAGAAAAATTCATCACTGTCGTTTGTCAATTTTATTTGAATTAAAGGAGTTTTAGCACACTTTATTTGGAAGTGTCAGTCTTTGAGATCTTGCTGTGACCTAAACATAATAAAACAGTATAAAGTGAACAGGAAGCTGTAGGTTTGTAAAGAAAATTATATTTTAAAACACAGTTAAACAGCCTATAACCTAAACTAGCACCAGATGTCCCCATTTTGTCCAAATTTGAGTTTTGTTGACTAATCTATTATTAAAATTGTAGTTTTGAAATACTAGTTCATTTGATTAAACAAGCAGTTCATTATAAATTCAATTTTTAAATGCCTTAAAGTTTGTGTTTCTGTCAATGGATTATTGATTTTGGATTTTCTTACGAAGGTACCACTTCCCTATGAATTTATAAAGCAGCAACATTTGTTTATTAAACAATAATAAAACATTGTTCAGGAAGTATTAAAAGATCTTTATGTGAAAGTATAAAAGCATCCAATCTTGCCAAATAGTGGGCCTGCTACCCTGTATGAACAGCATTTTCAAACTTTATACATTATTATCAATGCTACAAATACATGAATAACCTATTTATAAATCATTAATGAAGCTGAGTCATGTTGAAATCCTTAAAAAACTGTTGGAGGGACACCGTTAGATTTTACCATATTACAAGTAATTTATATTCTAATACAAATTTACAAACTCGTTTACAAATTAGGTTTGATGAAATACTGAAGTAGATTACACTACATTTATTGGTTCATTTAAAATGTAATTTTCGAGGATCAGCAAAGAACCTTAAATATTTTAATATAAAGCAATTCTTTTCAAAAGTAAAAAGTTTTATGTTTAAAATTAACAGAGAATGTGTATTTTCTGCTAATATTGTTTATGTTCTTTATAATTGTTTAAAATATAAGTACACATTACTTACATGAAATAATTTAAAGGTTTACATTTTTTTAATGTGGAAATTGTTACTATTTATATGCTATAATGCAAATTTTAAGTACTCTTAACATTTTTGATAATATAATTTGATTATATTAGCATAACACTACAACAACACTACCAGCCTGATCAAGAAAGCACATCAGAGACTTCATTTTCTCAGACGGCTGAGGCGACCTGGTCTGGAAAGCTCAGTCCTCACCTCCTTCTACAGGTGTGCAGTGGAGAGCATCCTGTGCTCCAGCATCAACGTGTGCATGGAGGCTGCACAGCTGCAGAAAGAAAAGCCTTGCAGAGAGTGGTGAAGGCTGCACAGAAGACTGTTGGAGTCAGCCTCCCCACCATCACAGACATCTACGCCTCCAAATGCAGGAAGAGGGCCACCTGCATCATGAAGGACCTCACTCACCCAGCACACATACTTTTTGCCCCGCTCCCCTCAGACAGGAGGTTGAGGAGCATTAAATGTAGAACCACTAGACTGAGGAACAGCTTCTACCCCGAGGGTGTTATATTCATGAATCCCTAATCAAGATTATCACTGTGAAAAAAAAAATACTGTAATGCCACTTTGATTGTTGATATGTGCTGCTGACTATCTATGCTGCTGATGTCATGCTGCCGATTTATTTGGTGCTGCTGTTGTTCGGTGTATCGTTCCCATTCTATTAGTATTTAGCATATTTCTTAGTCCATTTCTTAGATCTTACTACTGTTTTTTTTTTGTTTTTTTTTTACAATTTTTCATTTAATTGGATATAACTGGGACCCTGTGCACAATTTCGTTCCATCACATGGGATGAGGATGACAATAAAGTACCTTGACTTGACTTGCTAAAAATAAAAATATTACAATACTCGTGCCAATAAATATAATTTATAAATGTATTGTTTTCGCACACGTCACCTAAATGCAGAAAAACGGGAAAATATGCTAAAATTGTTTGTTAAAAAAAAAAAAAAACAGCCGGCAGGGAGCGCATCATAAGTCGCCTAGCAACGACACAGCCAATCAAATACGAGCCTTAGCTTCCCTCTCCAAAACGCCCCGCCCCTTGCTTTAGCTGGTCAGCTGATCTCACTGAGGTTAGCCCGCCTGCGGAAATGTGCGTTGACTCCGTGTTTTTTGGCGAAAAGCAGGCTTTTTTTTTTTCTTTTTAAAGATGTCAGCAGGTTTAACAGTTCCTCTTCAGTGTCGAAAGGCTTGTCTTTGTTTATTTTATGAATGAGGAAGAGGTGAGAACGAGACGAGTTGACTTTTGTTTTTGCTATTTGTAGGAATTAGCTAAAAAGCTCAAGTTTGAGAGGATTTGAACTCCTGTCTGTGATCATTAGGTTGGGATGGTCTGAGGTGATTCCTAACAATACTCTGAGAAATGGAAGACAGCGATGGGGAAGATCTTAAAGAAGCACCTGAACTGCCACAAGAGGTGGGTTTAAATTTATTTTATTACAAATATCTATGCCTTAGAGCAACCATAAAGTCTCTTTCTGCTAAAATGCATTATTTGTACTTGTTCAGAATTTGCATTTACAGTGTGATTTGATTTAAGCTAAAACTTCAAAGTGTCGTTTTAAATAATCTAATATAAGTCCTTCTCTTGTTACAGATTATAGTTTACATCCTGAGTTTTCTTAATGCTTCAGACAGGAAGGAAGCCTCGCTGGTCTGCCACAGCTGGTACGCTGCCAGCCAAGACCTGAGCTTTCAGGTAATATCTCCCAAAGTACAGACACACAAAGTTGACTGGATGGAAAATGCAGCTTCACGTCGCCTCTACGTCTCTTTGTGCAGATAAACGTCACTTTCAGCTTCCCAGCTTCAGCCTCGTCCCTGGAACTGGTCAGGGGTCTGGTCAGGAAGCCACGCTGCAACCTGAGGATCAGCCAGCTGGATGGCTTCAGTATTTCCAGATCACTCCTTCTGGAGGTTCTGTATGATGTTAATGCAATAATAATGCAATGATTTTTTCCCCCATATCTAAAGCATGTGATGTCTGTTTCTGTCTGAACTCACAAAACCCGACACAAAGTGCGAGTCAGAGCACCACCTCCAAGGCTTCTCACACATGTCGAGAGGCTTTTATTTATTTTAGACACACCAGGCAGGAGCAGAAGTATGTGCGCCTGGTAAAACTAATGTTTTAAATGTGGATATTAACTATGACTGTGTGCCACATCCTGCTTAGCAAGCCCTTTATTAGAATGACAAAAGGTGGAGCAGGCGGTCACTAAAGAGGTTGAAATTTCTGAACCACCCATGCACCCATGCACTTCCAGAACTTCTGTTAAATATTGAATGGATGATATTGAGTGCTATCAAGTTGTAAAATATAAACAGTTTCCTGGAAAATGAAAGAAACAAAGTCTAACTCACCCATGTTGACTTAGATTTAGGTCATCACTGTTGGAGAGTAGGTGAAAATTAGCATGCTGCTTATTTTAGAACAGAATAAGCTAAAACAAGCTGAACATAGCAAATTCTATAAAAAAAGCCAAAAATAGCAAAATTCTAGTCAAAAAGCAGTAAAAGTTATGCTAAAACAAATAGAGGTTTGCCAAAATCTAAAGTATCTAAACATTAGCTAAAAGTAACAAAAGGCTAACTGAAAGCTAAATGTGTCAAAGGCTTAACGCAAAACCAAAAGCTAAAAGTAGTAAATAGCCAGTTAAAAGCTGAAAGTAGCAGAATAGTAGCTCAAAGCGAAAAGTAGTCAAGATTAGGAAAAGCTAAAAGTAGCAGAGAACAGTAGCTAAAAACTACAAGTACCATTAAAAAGGCAAAAAAAAAACCATCAAGTATGCTAAGGCAGATCTTAAAGACAACAATGTTTTTGAAGGAAATGAGTAACTTTCAACGTATTTATATTTAACTAAAGTTAACTCAACTCTTTTTTTTTTTTTGGCTCCCCTTTGAGTTTTCCTTGACGTTGTATTTGATTGCCTCAGCTATCTCTTTGGCCCCTTTCCCTCAGGTGGGGCTGTGTCTGGGCTCCAAGGTGGAGAGCCTGGCCCTTCCTGGTAGCAGCATCACCGAGGCCTCCCTGCTGGCCCTCCTCCCTCGTCTCACGTCGCTTCGCAGGCTGGACCTCAGAGGCCTGGACACTCTCTTCATGTCTGGAGCGTTTCTGTCCAGGGAGGAGCACAGACAGCAGGTAACACGATAGATTCATGACCAAGATGGCGCCGATGTGCGTGGCTTGTCATCGGCAGTTGCAGAATATTTGAATATTTGAACCTTGAAAACAGAATAGCTAAGTAGTAAGAGATACTTTTTTAATTGTGGAAATTGTTTTTATCTTTTAATGACTTTGAACAGGCGATTCATGCTTTTATTGACTCTCAGCTGGATTATTATAACTCCATGTTGGTGTTAGCCAACCTGGCCTCTCATGACGTGAGGCTTGTCTTTTAACACAAATATAAAAAGTGTGAACATTTCTTGCTGCTTACTTTCCATCATTGGCTGCCTGTTCATTTTAGCCTTGATTTTTAAAGTTTTATATTTGACCTTTATGACCCAGAACGGTCAGGTTCTGTAAACCTGTCTGATGTCCTGCAGTCTTATGATGCCCTCTAGATCTCATCGATCTAATATCATTTGCTTTCAGTTGTCCTGAGGTCCAGGCTGGTCCACAGAGGTGATCAGCTCATTTTAGCTGTAGCTCTTAAACCGTGGAGCCGCTGCCCCTCTATATCAGACATTTTTCACGGCTGGGTGTTTTTAAGTCTCATCTTAAAACATGTTTTGCTCGCTGGCTTTTATTATAGCATGAGCATTGACATTTTCTATTTTATTTGAATATTCTTTTTTTGTCCTATCAAATATTTCGTTTTTGTATTTGTTTGCTTTTATAGTCTCTTGTATTTGGTATTATCTTTTCACTATTTATAGTTTAAAGTCCAGTGGCGGTTTTTAAACGATGTTTGATTTGATTATTGTCAGGTCACCGACCCACAGTGCAAAAAATAAAAATAAAAAAGACAACACGACAAGACAAACCTGTGAAGAGAACACGCAAACTCTGTGTGGAGTTTGCATGCTCTCGTGTTTGTGTGGGTTTTCTCCAGGTACTCCGGTTTCCTCCCACGTGCATGTTAGATTGTGATCTAATCAGAATCAGATTAAGCTTTACTGTCATTGCACAGTGAAGTACAGCGAAGTTGTATTCCGTACAGTCGTCTGAAAGATGGGCGGGGTGTACGTGGTTGCAGCTCCAAGGAGCGCGGCCCCTTATTCTTTAGACAAGAAAAGGGGAAAGACCATGAGGATAGTGGTTATTAAAAAAAAAAAGATCTCTTCACACCATGTCCCTGTCAGGGCACGGTTTAAAACATCAAAAAAATCTACCAGCAAGCACAGTTATAGACACATTACATATGCATTTCACGACAAGACGCTGATATTTGTTCATGAAACACTTCCAAATAGCTCCATAGTCCTGATAAGATGTTAAAGTGTCAGCCGGTGCAGCTCTGATAAGCGTTCACAGAAGTTCTGGGGGGACGGGGGACAGGGCAGGGCCTGGTTAAATAAAGGTTCATTATATTAATAATAATATAAACAGTTTATTAGTATTTTTTATTTTGCAAATCATTTGCTCTTTATTTCACCAGAAATGAACACAAATATTACACATAGCATTTGCAGTTGCCATTGTCTGTGAGTGTTTGTGTTTGTCTGTCTGTTAGCAAAATACCTCATGAATCACTGTCCAGATTTGAGTGGAACCCGCAGGATGTACATGTACAGCTGGACCATCAGAAAGCTAAATTCAAGAAGGCTGCCACAGCCAATCGACATTAGTCAACACATAAATAGTTACAACTCAGTCAGTTTTATGGATTTTGAGCTAAAATGTAGTTTGATAGTCGCTGAGAGTAATTCCCAACTCTTACTCTGAGATCTTGCATAAGATAACACTTACAGTTTAACAGCCTTCTCATTCTAAGATGATCTTGATGTAAAGTTGATATGCATTCCTTCAAGTAATGCTAGGCCTTTAGTTATTTATGCATTAACTATGATTTGACCTCTTCAGGTTGTTGAAGAAACACTATTTACTTTAATGAGTAACCGTTCATAAAAGCGTCCCACTGTATTTTACGTTTTGTTTGTTTTTCATTAGCAGTCCATGTTTGTGTCGCAGGTCAGGTCGGCTTTGAGCGGTCTGAAGGAACTGGATCTGTCAGACCTGCGTTACCTCTCTGACCTCACCTTCAGTCGCCTCACCGGCTGCACCCCGCACCTCCGCCGCCTCTCACTGGCCGGCTGCCACATAGCTTTTGAGTTTGATCCGTATCATGGGTGCCCGGTGGGTGCTGTGAAGGACTCCTCGGCTCTTCTGTCACTTAGGAACCTGAAGAGGATGTTAACAGGGCAGAGGTCCACCCTGGTAGTTCTGGACCTCAGCAGGACCTCCATCACCCCTGAGTCACTGCGCACCGTCGCACAGGTCAGCAGCCTCTGTAAGCTTTTTGGTTCACAACCTCCGCTTCTAACTCAGAGTTCATACGACACATCTTACATTCATACCAGCTCTGTCGGATAACCTCTTTAAGGTTCAGGGTTTGGTGTTGGAGGAATTGTATCTTCAAGGCTGCAAAGAGCTGACAGACTACTCTGTGGAGATTCTGGTGAAGCACCAGCCGAGCCTCCTGAAACTGGACATCAGCGGCTGCACTGAGCTGACCAGCAGGTCTGTGGAGGCTGTGGCTCGAGGCCTGAAGTCTCTGACGCACCTGTCTTTGTCTCGCGACTGGAGGATCACTGAAAAAGGTTTGAGCGCAGATCAGAGCACATGATCAACAGATCCATCACTTGTGCCCTTCAGGCCTGTGGTCATTCAAAAAGAAGTAGAGCTCCCTAGATAATCTCTACATGACTGTTTATGGCATATTTTCTCCTTAAACTTTACAAAGAATTGAACCATTATTATAAATTCATAAAAATAGTGTTGTGGTTGTTAAGGCTGTTTGGGTTGTCGTTATTTTCTTACTTATCTTTGTTACATTATTTTATGGGTTCGAAGCTACAAAATTTGGGAACTACAGCTTCAGAGTTTCCTTGAGCATCCGTGAGCATTCCTCTCGCATTCTGTCGTGATGCTTTCATTTGTCCTCAGGTCTCGCTGACCTGCTGTCAGTGCCGTCCCTGACGTCTCTGGATCTGTCCGAGTGTCCACACATCAGTGGAACAGAAATGGTGAAAGGCCTGAAGGGATCCAAAACCAGCAGAGCTAACCTGGAGATGCTGAACCTGAAGAGCTGCACCTACGTCCGGGTGCGTGAACATCTACTTTTTTTTTTTTTTTTAATGCACGTGAAAACATAAAGAATAACTCGTCTGTGATTCTCTCTGCTCAGGATCTTGCAGTCTTCTCGCTCACGCAGCTCCTTGGAGATTCTCTTCATGAGCTGGATTTGACATCGTGCGTCAATGTGACCGACCTGTCGGTGTGTGCTATCTCCACCTACCTGCAGAAGCTGGTAGTTCTGCGGCTCGGCTGGTGTAAAGAAATCACTGACTGGGGTCTGCTCGGCATGGTGCAGAAAACCCAAAGCGAACCTGACGACGAGACGGTGAGAACAACATCTGCACGTTGTGGGCTTCAACGTTAATCTCAGCAGTACATGTATTTGAAAATGTATTCTTGTTCTTGATGTTTCACACAGGAAGATCGAGGTCCGAGGTTTACCCGGACGTTCGGCAACATGGGCTTCTTTAAACCCCCTCGAATACCTTTTGAGGAGCGACCCAAGATGGTGACCCAGAACGACCTGCAGCAGTTCAAACAAAGAGCCGGAGCTTCACTTTTAGCCCTGAAAAGGCTGCAGGAGCTGGACCTCTCAGCCTGCGCCAAACTCACCGACAGCAGCATCACACAGGTTGGCTGTTTGGACTCGCAGCTCTCGCGTCAGAATTCTTTTTTTTTTGCTGCATTTGTTTTTTGAGATGGAATTATTTGTTTGTTTTATTTGTTTGAATGTGGCGCTGTCTCACGTCCCCTCAGGTGGTCCGTCACCCAGAGCTCCAGCGATTGTCCCTCTGCATGCTGCCAGAAATCACCGATGACAGCTTGGCGTCAGTGGGCCGGCATTGCCGCAGCCTCACCAGCCTGGCGCTAAGCCAGTGTCCAGGCATCACCGACCGTGGAGTGGCCCAAGCAGTGCCCCACCTCCAGCGGCTGCAGCACCTCCACCTGTCCTGCTGTAACATCACTGACAGGTAGGTGGCGATGAGCCTCGCTCAGCGTCTCGATGTAACCGAAAACAATCGAACATCCATTTCCTGTGAACATGCAGCGTGAACGCTGACTGACTGTTGATGAATGAATTAACTAAACTGTTAAAGTTAAAATCAGCAGAACACAAGTTAAAATTAGCAGAACAGACGTTAAAATTAGCAAAGTTGTAACTAAAAGCTAAAATGAGCAAAATTGTAGCTAAATGCTAAAAGTAGCCAAACTGTAGCTAAAAGCTTGAATTTAAAAAGAAGTAGCTAATAGCTACAATCAACTATAAAGGCTGTTTAAAGCTAAAGTTTTCATAACTGTAGCTGAAATTTAAATTTATTTTTTTTGGTGTGTGTTCAGTGCCCTGAGATGATTTCTGTTTTGACCTGGCACTATCTAAATTAACTGAAATGAATTCATCTGAATTAAAGCCATAGCTTAAAGCTATAATTAACAAAACAGCAGCTACAAGCTGAAATTAACAAAATGGTAGCTAAAAACTAAAAATAGCAAGTTGTAGCTAGAAATTAAAATAAGACCATGGCTATTTTTGAATTGAATTGAATTGAATTAAAAGCTAGATTTAGTCAGATGATAGCTACATGCTATACTTAACTAAACTGTAGCTATAAGTGCAAATTGGATGAATTGTAGCTAAAGGCCAAAATTAGATAATTTAGCTAAAAGCTAATATTAGATAAATGATAGGTAAAAGCTAAATTTAGCAGATTGTAAGTATAAGGTAAAATACGACAAACCGTAGCTAAATGCTAGATTTAGTCAGACGATAATTTCAAACTAAAATGAACTAAACTGTAGCTAACAGCTAAAATGTGATCATTTATAGCTAAATGATAAATTTTGATAAATTGTAGCTAAAGGCTATAATTAATACATTTTTAGCTAAAATTAGACAAATTGTAGCTAAAAGCTAATTTTAGCAAGGGTATGTTCAAAGGATCATTAAAGAAAGTAGACTTCAAAGAACAATGTTTTCAAAGGAGCTGAAGAGATCTGTGTATTTTCCTGAACTTTTTAGTAAAGTTCCAAAGTTAAAAATAATAAAATCATAGTACACTATTCCTAAATGAGCCGAAAGTTTTGATATTTGGTGAAAACGGCACAAAATAAGCAGAAGTAACGTGAACAGAAGAAACTGTAAAGAGAAAAAACAACCGAGTGAATCCAGAACCATCTGAGCGGTTTGTCTGTGAACCTGCAGGTCTGTGTTCCTCCTGATGCAGAACTGCAAGCGTCTGAAAACAGTCGACGTCTCACGGTGTAAAAACATCTCCATAACGGCGGTGGATCTCCTCCAATCACGGCTGCCGTTTTTGGAAAACGTTCATCACAAACTCATAGGTGGGGCTGACCTTCCTCTGACCGACTGACTGAATATTGAGGACGACAGCTGGAGTGCAGCAGCTCACCTATGACGAGCTAAAAGCTCAAACTGCTGCTCTTTGCAGGGCGGGTATTACCCTTCTAAAACAAACCCAAATAAAAACATTTTAATGTAATGTTTAGATTAATGTGACGGATCACCGTCAAACTCACAGACTTCACCTAATGAAGATATTTAAAGCTGCTGCGCTAAACAGAAACATTCAAGGAGCAGACAAAAGAAAAAGTGTTGCTCAAATGTAAAATGCTGCTTTTGTGTTAAAATGTAACCATGTTATATTATTTTACACAGCCGAAGGTTTGGTTGAAACACAAGGCAGCAGGATCTGTTTTAACTTTATTAGTTTATATAAAATGTGCTTTATAATTTCTTTAATCATTTTGAAGTAAGTGTAGCTGTAAAACTGAGTTAAAACTGTTTTTGTGTTGACTAAACTTGACTGGCTGTGCCGGCCATCTGGAATATGTCTGACTCCAAAGGTTGAATCAGTTGTAGACGTCTGTCCAATGACCACTTTCTGAAAATTATTAAATTCAACCAGTGGTTCAGGAGATATTTTGCTAAGAGACAGGACTGAGTGTAGTTGTTAGTGTTCAGAGTATGTTGGACAACTCTCAGCTACTACACCAAGTTTTAGCTCAGTATTCATACAACTGGCTGAGTCGTAGCTATTTTTGTTTCTTGCTGTGGTGGCCATCTTGAATGGGGACAACTCCAAAAGTTAACCGTACGTAGACGTTCATCCAATGATTACAGTAGTTCCATAAGTCTGCCCGGTGAGTTGTGGGATATTTTGCTAATACTACAGACAAACAGACACGGGCAAAAAAAAAAAATAAATCACCTTTGGCGGCAGGTGATCAAAAGGTTCTACAAAAAGCAGAAATCCTTTTTTGAAACCTGTGGACATTTATAAGTTTACTGGACACTCCTGCACTTTCCTTTTATTTAAAGGTACTGTTATAACACTATGGTGACAGGATGGAGGAACAAAAAACGTGTTGTTTGGAAATAAACCAAAGTTTTGGCTACAAAGCAACGAGAAAAACAGACACTTGTTTATTTGTGTGTTTACACTGATTATAGTGAATCACGAGGACTGGGTAACCTAAAAGCTCAGCAGCTGAAATGAAAGGACCACAAGTCTTCTTTAAAAAAAAAAGTCAGGAAATTACTAATGTAGACAGTTTGTCAGTTTCTAGGGCAGCTGCTCTGTTTCCATCCATTGTTCAGTGAACGTACCATACATACGTCACATTTTAAAGAGTACCTCATAGAAAAACAACAATGTTAAAGTTAAAACATTTGATTTGAAACAATTCGTCTCGTCTGGCGTCATACAGATTTACAGAAATGATATAAAAGTCACTGCAAGCATCATTGATTTGTGACAAAAGTTGGTGAAAACCGAAACATCACATGCACTCAAACAAAGCGCCATTCATAAACATGTGCCAGTAATAAAAATAAAAAAGCTTTTAGACAAAAAAGTAAAAAAAATAAAATACTCAGCTGTGCATGAGTCATTTGTACCGTGTTGCATGAAAGTGTTCAAATTAATGCCTGTTTAAAAAAAACAAAAAAAAAGCACTTCAAGACATTCTTTACAAATTTCAAGATGCAGTTAAAAATATAAAAGATAAATTTTAAAGTACCCAGGTGGTTGGATTATACATGCTCAACGATTTTCAGAGTTTTTAAGCGTCATGACAGCTGAGCAGCGAGGAACAGAGAGAGATGGGTGCTGACATTTTTCCACTCATAATTCTGAATGTAGTTTAATTTTCACAGCTTCTCCTGCTTGAAATTCCAATGTCAGAGATATAAAATCTGTTACACGAAACAAGTGCACAGATGCGCACACACAGTCTTATTTCAAACACGCTGCTATTCCGTTTCCGTTCATCCTCTACTGCTCCGTCTGACTGAAGTCGTAGCAGAAGTTGTAGTTGCTCGGAGGTTTCGGGACGATGGGGGCGCTGTCAGGGATGGAAACGTTCTCCAGGTCCAGGAGGCGGAGTTTAATCTCCATGGAGAGGAGGATCTCCAGCTCGCTTCGCATTGATTCACTGCTCATGTCCCTGCCCAGGAGGACACTCAGTCCATCTGTCCACAGGCAGAACTGACAGACGGGAGAAGTGTTCAGGTCAAAACCAACAAAGACGTTATACAAATATGGAGGTTCATTCAGGAAGTGGAGTCCAGACTCACGTCGGTTCTAGAGGGGGCGATGAAATTCAGGTTGTACTCCTCAACGTCGTATGTGATGCTAAATGCCAGATCCAGCACCTCCTACAGCAGGAGAACAGGTTGTTACATCAACCAACAGGAGCAGAGTAAACAGGAGGAGCTCGACTGACCTTGTTCTGTTTGCCTTTGTTCTCCTTCATGTGAGGGCAGTCTTTCCCCGTCAACAAGCCTTTAATATCTGCCACTGGAACTGAAGATGGGAAGGAAGAAACAAGATAACTGGAACATAGTAAACACAACTAAACTTTAAACAGTTTTTTTTATATAGTAATACTGTAATAGTTTATGATTTTATTAACAAAAATTGTGAAAATCTCGAGTTCAAAGGATGAGGCTGAAAGTCAAGGCTGGATGCTGATGATCTGCTGACAAAACATTTGACACATTTACAATGTTCCACTGTGACTAAAATATTGGTTTATGAGATTAGCAGATCACTGCATTCTGTTTGTATTTATATTTTATGCAACGTTTGGGCTTGTAACTACGTTGTTGTTTCTATGGCTGATTAATTGTTCTGCCTGCTGTGGATTATAGTTCTTCTAAAGGTTACACTGAATACAGACCAGAGATCATCAAGAACAAATGTGATTTGATTAAGTGCAAATAATCCATATGAAGCCATTAAGAAATAAACTAATAAATTAAGAAATAAACTAATAAATACTGTAATTGCTTAAAAAGTATAAAAGCATTTGGCACCCATGCAAACAGTTGGTGGAAACACTGGAGTAAACTTTGTGCCAACTGCACCATCTTAATGATCTTTTAAACACTATTTCAAATTTATTGTCACTTTGAATCAAATTGTGGGTGATGTCAACTTTGCACTCTCAATCTCCTTTATTAAAAAAAAAAGGACGTTTGCCATTCTGACGTGTGTGTGACTTTTTGTTAGACATGTTTGAGCTGCTGCTTAGCTTTCTATGAAGACAAATCCAAAAAGTTGCAAATCTTCATGTCTCCCTGCTTTAACTCACTCTTCTCTTGCAGTGTTTCTATTGGTGGATTCTCTGTATCATCTTCCACGTCACCGAAATGAAGCATTTTGTGATTGGGCGACAAGCGACAGTACCACAGTTTATCTGACGAGAAAAAAAAACAACAAAAACAAACATTGCTAGAGTTAATATGACGAGTCCTGGTCTGCGGTGTGACGAGTTAATCCATGTAGTGTCCGTTCATCTCACCCTGTCTTCGCCGGCTGCTGATCTTCCTGAACATGGTTCCCTGACACAACCTGTTAAGTCTCTGCTGGCGGATCAGCTCCAGCAGCTCTGGCTTCAAGCGCTCTTTGAGTTCGCTGGAAATAGAGAAAAAAAAACGTTCAAAACGAGACCAACAAACTCCTTCGGGAATGCCTTGTGCTTTGGTGTTAGTGTCTGAGACTGATGCAAACTCACAAAAAGCAGAACTCCTAATATAAACCCGAACATGACAGTTTATGGGTTTACGGAACAGTAATCCTGCATAAACGTCTCAATGAGACGGTAAAATTCTCTCTTGTCCATCTGTTGGTTTCATAGCTGTGTAAACTACATGGAGCAGGTGATCCTGTTTATTCCAGCCCATAACCATGATAAAAATCTTGCCGTCTGAAGCGAGAAGCACCTAAAGTTGTGGGTTTTAATGTTTCCCAGCACCTCCAGGTACTCACAGCACAGGTGGAGAGAGCGTCTCCTCCTGATGCAGCCGCTCTGTCTGCCGCAGCTTCAGGATCTCGCTGTAGTTCAGAGCGTTCACTTTGTTTTTGAAGAGCTCCAGGGAGGTCGGCTTGGTGGACAAGGTCCTGGTGATCTGCTCCCTCACCACCTGCATCACCTGGGGAAGACCGAGCCAGGTGAGTTCACAGGGAAACAGGTTAGGTGCAGCTGTTGGAGAGGAATACTTACATTTTCACACAAGTTGAATTCAAGGATTTTCATGGTTGTTTTTCAAGTGTTCCAGCACCTTAAAGAGCCCATCAGTGGATTTATATTTATAATGATGAAGAGCCAACAATTTAGCAAATAAGCTGTTAAATTTTGAGATTTGCTTCAATTTTTTTTTGTTTAAACTAAAGAGTTTTTACTAGGGATGCACAATATTGGATTTTTGGCCGATATCTGATATGCTCATATGTTAAAACTTATTTGGCCTGTTAAGATATTTTTAATCTAGACTGGTCTTATGGTTTTGATCTGCTCAGAGACAGGATTATAATGAAATTATGACCCGGTTCTGACTGGGTTAAACTGGGCCAGCAGCTCTCAAGAGAGTCTCCCTGGGATTTCAATATCAGTCAAATAGTTTAATCTGCTTGCCACATCACGTAGAAAGGCTTTGGAGCACCGTCTCATATTTCCTAACACGTCAGTCCACATAAGATCCCTGAGATCACACTTAGCCACGCCCCCTCATACACTGACAGGTTGAGCTCCCCTTCTGCGAAAGAAGGAGTCATAGGACACGGGACTTCGAGGCTCTTCCGGGTCTGTGAACGCGTCACAGTCCGGAGAGTCCAGCGTTGTAAGCTGTAATCTTTTCCTGCCTTTTTTAATATAATTGATAAAACTTAATTGACGTTTCCTTGATTTATTTGTTAGCATGAGTTGCCACTTCTGAGGGAGGTTCGAGCTGGGGGTAAAGACCTGGGCTGGAGGGGGTTTCCGGATCCGGTGGCCCGCAGCCAGCTCCCGTCTTTAACAGGCCGATAACCGATACCAATACAACATTTTTTTTCCCTAGACCTACTTGCACAGACTACTGCTTTCTCTGCTGTGGAATTAAAATACTACATTATCCTGCATGGTCTTTGTCAATTTGGCCTGCTTCCAAATGCAGATGTCAAAAAGGGGGCTGAAAATTATGTAACACTTCAACTTGGATTATATTTAATGTCAGATTTATTCATGACATTTACTCTCTAACACAATGACAACACTTGTCACTGGGTTGCCATACATAAACAGTACTATATATGTATGTATATACATATATCAGTATATAAACAGCGCCTTTTATATCGGTGAGTTATCTTGATGGAATGGCCGATATTTAACTTTATCGCTAATATCGGCTGATACGATACATGCCGATAATATCGTGCATCCCTAGTTTTTTTTAATTAAACATTAATAATTGAGCCAAATGTTCAGTTTAAAAAGGGAAGTAAAGATTTTGTGATTTAACAAGCAACACATTTTTTTTTCCTAACCTTTAAGGAAACTATTTTTTTTGTTTTAAATAAATGCAATTAAATTCTTGTTTGAAGCACTTTGTTGCAAATTCAAGTGGTTTACAAACCTTGAAAACTTTATTTAAGCATTTCACAGCACCTTTACAGACAGATTGATGCATCATCCTTAAAACTGAAACGAGACTCCCTCTGAATCAAACCACTTGTCTCTGATCCAGTCCGTGATCTTTTATCAGTTTGAATTTAATTGCCTTTTTAGTTCACACCATCGCCTCACATGATTTGTCTTTTTATAAACACATGCGTTCAATAATCCCTCTGTTGTAACACACACACAAACACACACGAAACTTGAACGAATATTTCCAGACTGAACTGCTGTGTTTTTTTTCCGCCTGACTTGTTAAAGTGAAGCTCATAAAAATGGACGGGAGGGCTGACCCGAGGGCAGCACGTCACACAGTGCAGAGTTTAAAATCCATGACTCACTCAGTTGTAAACAAAGAAAAATCTATAGAAAAACCTATAGTGCTAAAAAAACTTATGCCAATTCGAACGACTCCTGCTGACCCAAATCATCCCTGATTGCAAACAATCAGCAGCTGAAGTGTAATATGAGGGATTTAGTTTCATTTAAATCCTCGTGCAAACCCAATTTCCTCTTTTAGAACTACCTAAAGAACAACGGGGGGTTTTATCTTTGTAGTGTTTATGACAACCACCTCCCCGGCTGATTGAATTTAATCTGGCGCCAGGAGGAAAACGGAGATCCAAATTGTTAGTCGTGAATGACTCGAGACAAAACCAAACGACTAGTGTCACTCCGTGGATCTAAAGTCCGTGGAGACTAAATAAAGTCGGTGTTCAGACATTTTCACATCATGCAAGTTACAAACAACTATGTCAAACTTATAAACTCCAATTTATTAATCGGTTTTGTGAAACGTCATCTGTCTTCTAACGTATTAACCTTTAAGAATTCAAAACGACAAATTTTCAAGATACATGTGAAATGTTAAGTATTAAACTGATTTCATTCAAAAAACAAAACACAGTCTTACCTCCATTTCTCCTCCTTTATTATTATCTTTATTAGGAGTTGAATTAATCCAATTGTTACGATAGCAAAAAGCTAACAGGGATGGCGGTTGGAGTTAGGTGCATCACAGAGATCACCTGCGAGGCAGGAGAGCTGCGGGTCTTTGGCTGTTTTGTAAACAGACACCCTGATTCTCCCACACATGCACTCCCCTGTCCCACGTGGCCCCTCTCCTCTGTCATTAAGCTCCAGTGACCAATAGGAGAGACGACAGGCAGCTGTCTCTGTTCCCTGCAGAGTGTGTGTGTGTGTGTGTGTGTCCTAACATTCAGTGTAGTAGTAGCTGAGAGTCATTAGCACATACTCTGAGCACTAACAGATCATGCAAGATATCACGAGACTGTGCATCATTTTGATTTCAAGTTTTAACTAAAATAGCTACAACTCCTTCTTTCCTCAACAGATGTTTTGTCTAAAACGGGCATGAAAGGCGACGGGCGATATCCTTCAATGGACGCTGGGCCTTTGTTTCCAGGGCTTTTTACTTCCCTCCTCTTGTTGTGCAGTCACTGCTGTTTTTTGTTTCCTTCTGGTTTCATTGCTGCTGCTCACCACCTTTCTTTTTGTCTAACTCATGCCTCTTTGTTCTCGCCCCAGAGCACCCTGGGTAACTGGCCACGAGGAAAAACAAAAGGCTAGTTTGCTGGTCTGACGCTCGGAACAGTGGCCTGCAGCAGAAAGGTCAGGAGGTCACAGAGATTTTTGACTACCAGGACAGTTTTGTAGATGTGATGTTTCAACAACTCTTCAGTTTTCCCTCAGCCGTCACCAAACTGCAGAAGGAACGAGTACCACGTACAGCACGTCATGCGCCTGTCGACAAACTACTACACAGCAAGCTATAGCATGGCCCCAACACACAAAAAAAGGCCTTGCATAAACTTTAATCTTAATTTGTGACTTTGAGCTTAGAGCTGGGGTGATGAAAAACTTACTCGACAGGCTGGCAAGTTGTGGTTAAATTTTCTCGAGCGGATCAGAAATTATGGTTGGGACAAGACAAAGTTTCCGGGTGTACGCACAGAAACCACAATATGTCCGCCTTTTGACTGATGTATAAAAAGTACGTTGGAGGGCGAAGGTCAGGGTGAAACAAAAAAAGTTATGTTTCTCCTACCTTGTCAAAGTCCTCCTGCGTGGCTCTCATCTCCTTCCAGGTTTTGTTTAGAAGCTGAATACAGACACAGAAAAGCTCCTCCATCAGTTTGTCCTGACTGAAGAAGATGGGATGGTAGCCGGATCCCGTCTCCGAGGCTGCAAACGCACAACGAAGGTGAATTGAACATTTTATGGAAAAGGAAACATCATCAGCTCTAGGCTGGGTTTGGTTAGCTGTTGGAGGTGAACCTACGTGGCTCTCCGATCCGCAGGATTTCACAAAGGATGAGCGTGAGCTGGATGCTGCTACGGGCAAACGGACACTCGTGTTTATCCTCTCTGCTGCTGTTCTCCAGAACAAACTGCAACAAACCAAATGGTTGGTTATTTCACTTGTTTATTTATCATGAAGCAGCATCATATAGACATGCATAATCCCGATAAGGCAGGTTTCATGTCACGTTTTAAATGAGAAAAGGTGTTTGATAGATATTAGGGAGAGAAACAGAGGTTAAGACAAATCTAGAGAGACATTATTTAAAGACTGAATTCTTAAGATTGTTAAGATGAAAACAAATCCCACTCACCCTGCTGTAGGCGTCAGGATAGTGTGTGGCAAAATAATACATGGTGTCCAGAGCTAAAAGACCGGGAGGCGTCCGCACCAAGTCCTGACCGGGGTTACTGTTGTTCTGAAAAAAAAAAAAAAAAAAAACAAGACAACACTCAGGATAATGAGATTTATAAGAAATGTAAATTTAGCGTGTACATTTACTTGGCAGTAACTTACAGAAAAGCCCAGTTTCCTGAACTCCTTTGCACAAAGTGAGCGTCGTCTTTCGTGACTGAGGCTGTTTTCGCTGTCGGTCTCAAACGCTGCCTGTCGCAAAGTGTGAAGTATGTCTCGTTGTTCCTGGGGCACGAAGAAAAGTTGCACATTTAGGTTGTACAGTAGTCCCTTGCTACTTCGCGGACTCACTCTATCGCGGTTTCTCAAAATAAGATTGGACCTGACACACAATTGGCTGAGTGATGGATGATCCACACGATCGGCATGGAATTTTTATTTAAAAAAAATTATTTTAAATTATGTAGCACTTGCTGCACATTTGCAGCCCAGAGCTGCAGAAAACGCTTTCTCCTGCACATTTGTGCAGCCCTTACTGCTGCAGGATAAACTTCCTGCTGCAGTATATACATATATATATATATATATACATATATATATATATATATATATACATATATATATATACACACATATATATATATATATACACACATATATATATATACACACATATATATATACACACATATATATATATATATATATACACACATATATATATATATATATATATATATATATATACACACA